ACATACTAACTCTATGATCATCAATAAACAAAAACACCAAGACCTTTTGGGCTACCATTTTTTGTTTTAACTTTAAAAACAGGTCTATTCTTACACAGTAGCTATACAAATTAGAGGTGCTGATATACGTGAAGAAGTGCTCATTTAAGATGATATAAATATATCATTAATTTTCTGTGGGGATCACATTGAAAAGGATTAAAATTAAGGAAATCAGAAAAGATCTCGGGGTAGGAGGGCTATCATTACCCTTTTAAACCCATAGGTAAGGGCAGCCAAGTTCATAGACTAGAAGCAGCCTGCACTCACTGCTCTCAAGGAGAGGAGCAAAGGTTGTGGGTAGAGAGGTTCACCTGTGGATGGACCATCTCAGAGAGAGCATTGTGAATCATCAGAGAAGTGGCTTGAGACAGCCAAATTTTGGGAGAGAGAGGAGGGGTGATCTGCTCAGCAAGACTGGAAGGTCCCTGGGAAAGCTACCACCTTCTTGCCATCTTGATGGTGCCACTGCTACTACCTGGATAGCACTGCAGCAGCTGCCAATGTCAGATCTGGGCGCAGGGAAAGCTCTAGCCACTGTGGCTCCCCAACAAAAATCAATTAATTAAAAAAAATAAAAATAAAACCATGGACCAGTGCTGTCCATTAGAGATATAATTCAAACATGATGTACCATTTTAATTTTAGGTGGCCATAATAATAATAAAAAAAACCCAGGTAGTATTAATTTAAATAATGTATTTTATTTGTAATGAGTTAAGTAGTAGTCCCCAAAAGGATATATTCCTAATCCTCAGAAGCCGTAAATGTGATCTTATTTATGGGGGAAAAAAAGTCTTTTGTAGATGTAATTAAGTTAAGGATCTCAAGACGAGATTATCCTACATCATCCAAGTGGGCCCTAAATCTAATGACAAGTGTCTTTAGAAGAGACATACAGAGAGGAGATGGTAATGTGAGGATAGAGGCAGAGAGGCAGGAGTAGGGGTCCTCAAATTTTTTAAACAAGGGGCCAGTTCACTGTCCCTCAGACCGTTGGAGGGCCGTTGGAGAGTGTGGCGCACATTCCACACATGCGCTCTGTGGGCCCCGGGACCAGTCGGCTGCTAAGCAGGACAGGCAGCAGCGCCAAAAACACCCGGGCGGGCTGGATAAATGTCCTCAGCGGGCCACATGTGGCTCAGGCAGGCCGTAGTTTGAGGGCACCTGGGCATGAGTGATGCCGCCACAAGCCAAGGAATGCTAAGCACTGGCACAAGCCACCAGGAGGTACAAGAAAGGCATGGAATGGTTTCTCATAGCTCCTGCAGAGGGAGTGCAGCTCTGCAGATACCCTGATTGCAGACTTCTGGCCTCTATAACTGTGAAAGAATAAATTTCTGTTGTTTTAAGCCACCAAGCTTGTGGTAGTTTGTTATAGCAGCCCTACTACATTATTTACTAAATATCAAAAAAGCATCATTTCATCATATATTTAATATAAAAATTATTAATGAGACATTTTCTTCTTTTTTTGTTCTAAATCTTTCAAATCTGGTGAGTATCTTACACTGGTAGTACACCTTGTTTGTTCAAGCCTCATTTTAGATGTTCAATAGGCACAGGTGACTGGTGGCTACTGTACACCTACATACATACAGCACCACCACCTTAGCCTTTGATCACAATAACCGTGCTAAGTGTTCTGAGGTAATAATGAGAGTTCTGTGACATATCCAACACCCTGGTGCTTTCCACTCTTGAAATTAGCTTGTCATTTCCAAAAATTGTTGGATAGCTCTTTCAGATTTTTCCATTTTAACCTTACCTTTCCTTCGGTGGGCAAAGATGGAAGCAGTGTAGTAACCAGAAACAGCAGCACCGGTAATAAAGCCATTGATGGAAACTAAGTCAAAGAAAACAAACGTCAGCATTAACACAAGTGGTGTAAGGATTCCCACACTAAGCGAGTGAAGACTATTGTAATGATCTTGATTATCTCAAAGGAACCGTGATTCTCAAATTCATTAATGATGTGACAAGAAAATAGATTCCTTCATAGGTAATTATGGTACTGGCATTCATCATTCATCTAAAATTTGGGGTAAAGTTTATTTTCGGTATGTACTTTCTCTCGATTTGCTATTCCCTATGAAAGGGCCATATAGTACCATTAGAATCATAGTAGAACCAAACTTGCCTTTGATAGGGACAATAAAAACAACAACAACAACAAAAAACTTAAGAATTTGACGATGCCCGGGAGATACATCTATTAAGGCTAGGAACATACTCCCTTCTTTTTGCTTAGTTTTATTGCCCTTACCCCATCAAAAAGAAAATATGGAGAAAATAGATTCCTCCATAGGTAATTATGGTACTGGTATTCATTATTCATCTCAAATTTGGGGGAAAGTTTATTTTCGGTATGTACTACCTCTTGATTGGCTATTCCCTATGAAAAGAAGGATTGCTTGTACTTTTATGTACACCAGACTCTAATCAAGATTTCAAGGTTGTGATTACATAGGCATAAATGTACAAACACTTTATTAGTGGTTATTTCTCTAATGCAGCAACTTTATGTCTATTTTCTTCCTTTACATTGTGTATATTTTCAAATTTCCCTGTATAGAAAAACACAAATGCAATTAATGTATTGCAAATACAGCCTGTTCAAGTTTGCTCAATCCATGATTTGGTACAAAGGTTGTTTAACATTTTCATTATCTTTTGAAAAGACACTGAGCATTTCATTGCCCATGTTGTCCTTTCTCAATATGTCAAAAAATACTAAATCCTTTAGATGAAGCAACAAGACCACTTAGTTTATGAAGCACTTGTCTTCCTGCCATTCATCATAAATTGTTCACTTTGTAAATTAAAGGATGCTGCCTTGATTTTTTTCCTGTGTGAGACTGGAACTCCCAAATTCTTGGAGGGAAAGAAAATTCCAAACAATTTATCAATACTTCTCAGGCTTTGCTAATTTTTAAATAGTAGATAATTAATTGATACTTGTTCCACATATTCTCCTATCCTCAATGGTGTGCCCATAAAAGGGAGAAGAATGAACATTTACTGATGGTTCATAATACAATATGATGAATGGGCTAGGCTTGGTGACTCACGCCTATAATCATAGCACTCTGGGGGGCTGAGGCAGGAGGATCACTTGAGGTCAGAAATTCAAGACCAGCCTGAGCAAGAATGACAGCCCATCTCTACTAAAAATACAAAAAATTAGCCAGGCATGGTGGTGCACACCTTGTAGTCCCAGCTATTCAGGAGGCTGAGGCAGGAGGATCAGCTGAGCCCAGCAGTTTAAGGTTGCTATAAGCTAGGGTGACACCATGGCACTTTAGCCTGGGCAACAGAGTGAAATCTCAGAAAAAAAAAAAAAAAAGAAAGTATGAATTAACTCTCATACCTTATTCGGTATGCTTATATTTCAAAGATGAAGAAATTAAGGCTTAGAACAGTTAGTTAACCTATGCCAATGGTAAGTTCTTAGGTAATATCAGAAACTAGACTTCACCCAATTATGACTTCAAAGTCAATACACATGGAAATGGAAATAGTCTCAACTAAGAGAAAACAATCATTGTTGCAGCCCAATAGAGACCCTATGTCCTTATTTCAATAATTCCTGTATTAATACATAACTATATGTTATGTATTAATTAATTATGTTATGTATTAATTAATACATAACTATATGTTATGTATTAATACATAACAATATGTAGCAAAATCATTAATATGGAAGCATATATACAACATACTCAAATAGCCATCCATTTTTCATTTTTCCATTAAATATAGCTCTAGTATAATTGTTCCAAAGTCACAAACATGCAAATTAATTATATTATTTATTTTTAGAATGAAACCATGTCATCCTGGTTCTCCTAAAGTGCCTGTAGAAAGAGCATGGTGTATATAGTTTCATAAACCTAAAACAGAAAAACAGAGAATATTCATAATGAAGATGTAAAAGAATCCCTTTATAGATGGCATCTTTAATCTCTTGTCACAGACTTAAAATTTGACTCAACCACTTAGCATCTCATACTTCACTGTATTTATTTGATCCCATCATTAAGACCATAATATCCTTCTTAGATCAGATTCTGTTTCAGTGTTTTAGTATTTCTTTTAAATACTAACGAAAAAGTGGACTTCTTAAACTTCTTACAGAAGTTCAATAATGATTGTTTGGCTACTTTACCTGAAAAATCACAGTTTATTTTTAAGACTCCCAACTCTTATCTAGGACTTCAACCTACGCAGTTCTCACAAGACCATTTCTCTAAGTGGATTGGTGGGTGGAGTCACATCCTTACCTCGTGAAGTTTTTAATCCTGGAAGCCAGGATGACATAAAGTCATATTTCACTGTATTTATTTGACATAAAATCCAGAAGAATTAGATAACATAAAGTCCAGAAGAGTTAATCACCTCAATTATAACTGTTATATAGTTTCCAATAACTGTTCATTCAAAACACTTATTTATAAAAAACTAACGTTCTTAATTTGACCCCACAAAAAGCCAGGTTTAGAAATGATTTCAAGCTTCTACTGATGATTCAGTGGGTCTCATGTAAATAGAATGATTTACCTGAAAGGTAGGTAAGGGGTTTCAATAGGCTAAACATAAAAAAGCATGTTGAAAGTCTTCGGCGGATCCGTGTTAAGCAACAAAACCGAACTATTAGTCTCCCCTTAATCAGCTGATAGGCCCTTCAGTGCCAGAAGAGGCACGAAGGAGGGTAAGAAACTCCCTCATCTCATAGATCTTTTTTCTCCTCTTGTCTTCACCCCAAATCCCAACCCTGCTCGTTTCCAGCTTGCGCTAATACTTACCCTGGCTCCGGAGCACAGATCTTCTTCGTGCTGCAGGGTCCGGAGCCAGAGGCCTACTGCTTCCTGCTCGTCATATGGCCATTGTGAACTCCCCACGCCACCAGATGTGAACGACGTCACGGGGCTTTATGACGTCAGAACTGTTATCTGGCTGCGGGGATTCCTCCCCCCACCTCCCTACCCCTGTCTGAGACTGCACCGAGAAAATCCTTTCGCTCGTGGAAAGCAGAGTTCTCTTTTCTCTCATGACTACCAGTGGGTGAGGAAAGCATTATGTTGGTGCCCAAAAAGTTTCAGATTTTGGAGAATTCGGACTTCGGATTTTTGGATGAGGGATACTCAACCTGTACTAGGATAAAGGGACCCAGATAACATACATTTCCATGTTTAATATACATTTCCATGTTTCATATCCAAATATAATATGAAGACTCAAATTAACCTATCTTTAATTGTAATAAGACATTTAATATTTTCACTGAAGAAGGAAAAGTAAAAGGGCGAAAAGAAATCCCAGACTGAAAAATACTACAATCGCGTTTTCACCTATAAAGTAATATAAAGGAAAAATTAAATAATATGATTCAATATTGATAGAGACAGAGGGGGATCAGAAAAACCAGAGTTGATATGGCCAACCCAGAGAGTAGTAAGGATGTAAAACATTGAGAGAAAATTTAGATTCAGGGAATATATTAATGTACTACTTAAAAGTCTAAAAGTAGCATCAACAAGGAACAAGGGAATATGTGTAAGAAACTAGAGATCAAAGTAGAACAAAAAGCAAGTCAGTTAAGCAGTTAAGAGAAGATAACAGTACTTTGATAACAAAAATTTAAGTTGAAACCAAGATAGAATTGACACAGGAAAGTGACTCCCAATGCTCCCTAGCTTTGTGCCAGAAAGAATTCAAGAGTCAGCTGACAGTATAAAGTGAAAGCAAGATGTATTCAGAAACTATAGAAAGTCTACTCCACAGATAGAGGAGAGGCAAGTTCTCCCTACAGAAGAGAACCGACCTCCTGGTTCCTGTTGCCTTTCTGTGTAAACAACTGACTAAACAAGGGGATGAATATTCATGGTAGAGTCGGTGTTCCTCCACCATCTTGGTCTTAACTGGTTGGAGTTTGCCCTGCCTCCATCCTGTTTTGGTCAAGGCAACAGTGAAACTTTGTTTTGAGACCTCCTCACTTGGTTAGGCAATGCTGCAGTAATGCCCAATACCCAAGGCATCCCTTGCAGCAATGCTTGTGCCCAAAGCAATACAGGCCAGTTCCCTGTCTCCGAATTGTTCCTTAGGCTCTCCGTATTTACTGTTTTTTCCCAACATATGTTCTTCAAAGCAAGTAGAAACTCTGAACTTTGATCATACAGCAAATCATGTGGATGTTGTTGATTTACCTTCTTAGAAAAAAGTGTAGAAGTCTCGAATGATTCTGGTATTTCATTATGGATAAATGCGCTGGCTTTCAAAAAGAGGCTAGTTTTGAGTTCTCAGCCACAAAGGGATAAAAGCAAAATCTCAGGACTACGAGTAGTGTTCAGGAAGGACAGGTATTTTTCCCTAGAAAGCTCAGCACAACAAATGGTAGCCCCAATAGTAAAAAAAAGGATACTATTAATACTTATTGTCAGAGGTTGTATTCTATAATACTATCTTCACTTTAGGGTTCATAGATTATCAAATTCTGAAGTAACAAACAATGAACAGAAAAAACAAAAGTCTTTTTATTCTACTTTCATCCAGCCTCCTAGTTCCAATCTCCAAAAGTAATTATTAAAACCAGTTTCTGGTGAATCATTTCAGATATACTCTATGCATATGAAAAGATCTATACTCTTATTTGGATAGATTTTTGTTTCCTGTGCATCAAAAGCTATTTGGATCAGGAGACTCTTAATAAGATATTGCCTAAAAATGTAGCCCAAGGCTTCAGTGAAACCACTGTTTGCTCATGTTCAGTATCAGCTGTACATCATCATGACTGTAGCTCTTATCATTGAAAGTGATGTGGAAAGTTTGGCTCTTGATGCAGAACAAGAGAGTTAAAGATTCAGAGCCCTGCTGTGTTCTGGGTCACAAATATTTAAATTTCTTCCCATGTGTATCTGTTGCTCCCTGTCCTGGTATATAGCAGTATAGCTGTGATCTGTTTCATCATCATCTTGATGTTTTGTTTTTTTTTTCTTTCTTTCAACATTTCCAGTATTTCACTCCACCATCTTTTTGATTACATGGCTTAATTAGAAGTTCACTGTAATTCTTATCCTGATCCTGTATAGGTAAGACGCCTCTCCCTTGTAACAATGTGACCTTGCATATTAATTCTAGCAGCTTTTTTTTGTAGAGTTCTCTGGATTTTTATGACAAGATTAATTTAATTTGCAAATTAAGACAGTTTCTGCTTTCCTAATCTCTACGGTTGAATCTTTTGGTTTAGATTAGTGCTATTGCCTTAACTATATAATGTGTAACAGAAGTGCTACAAGTGACATCCTGGCCTTGTTTCTGATAGTGAATTCTAGACTAAAAAGGACTTCAATGGTGCTTTTAGTTATAAAGTAATATAAAGGGAAAGCAGTCATTCATTATTAAGTAAGTGTAAGCTTAGCTTGGGGATTGATTTTGTAGATGCTCCATATCAGAATGAGGAACTTACCTTTTATTCCTAGTTTTCTGAAATTGGTTTTCTTTAAATGGAATTGAATTTTGTCAAATGCACTTTTTGCATCTTTTAGGATAATCATATAATATATTTATTTTATTAATATAGTGTATCACATCAACTGATTTTGAATGTTAAAATAATCTTTCTTTCCTGGAATACCCCACTTTATCATAGTGTATAATCCTTTTATATATTGTGTTTATGTTTATGAGGAATAATAGTTTGTAAGTTTTTTCCTGTGATGTCTTTTGGACTTTGCCATAGGTAATACTAGCCTGAATTGAGAAATAGTTTTCTTGTTTCTGTCATGATATAAACAAAGATATACTGACATGAAATTAGAAAAACCTCAGTGCTTCCTTTATAATGTATAAACACATTGACAGTATATATGCTATATATATAAATAATTTAGTACAATTTAGTTAGTCTGTCTTCCGTCAATAGCATTTTTAAAAAATTAATTGACACATAGTAATTGTACATATTATGGAGTACAATAGTGATGTTTCATACATGTAATGAATGTATAGTGATCAGATCAGAGTGGTTAGCATATTCATCATCTTAAACTTTTATGTGCACTTTTATGTGCACATAAGTGTTGATCAGTTAATACCAATTTGATGGTGAGTACATGTGGTGCTTGTTTTTACACTCTTGGGATACTTCACTCAGTATAATGGGGTCTAGCTCTATCAAGATAATACAGGAGGGCTAGATTTCCAGTGTTTTTTGTGGCTGACTAGAGCTCTATGGTATATATATTATTTATAATATTACATGTATTAATCCACTCATGTATTAATGGGCACTTGGTTGTTTCCATATCTTTGCACTTGTGAATTGCTGCTGTAACATTGAGTGCAGTGTAGTGATTTTTATAGAATGTCTTTTTTTCCCTTGGGTAGATACCCAGTAATGGGATAGCTGGATCAAATGGTAGTTCTACCTGTACTTTTGAGGTACTCCATATTACTTTCCACAGAGGTTGTACTAGTTTGCAGTCCTACCAGCAGTGTATGAGTGTTCCTATCTCTGTATATCCATGCCAACACTTCTTATTTTTGGACTTTTTGATAAAGGCCATTCTTACTGGAGTTAAGTGATATCTCATTGTGGTTTTTATTTGCATTTCCCTGATCATTAGAGATGCTGAGCATTTTTCATAGGTTTTGGCCATTAGTTTATCTCTTTTGAAAAGTTCCTGTTCATATCCTTTGCCCACTTTTGATAGGGTTGTATGATTTTTTCTTGCTGATTTTCCTGAGTTCCACATAGTTCCTCAGATAGCCATCTAATCTTTGACAGAGCAGACAAAAACATACAGTGGGGTAAAGAATCCTTATTCAGTAAATGGTGCTGAGAAAGTTGGATAGCCACATGTAGAAGACTGAAATAGGATCCTCATCTTTCACCTCGCACAAAACTCAACTCACAGCGGATCAGACTTAAACCCAAGGCATGAAACTGTAAGAATTCTAGAAGAAAATGTTGGAAAAACTTTTATAGACATTGGCCTAGGCAAAGAATTTATGAAGAAGACCCCAAAGGCAACCACAGGAACAACAAAAATAAATAAATGGGACCTGATCAAATTTAAAAAGTTTCTGCACAGCCAAGGAAACTATCAAGAGAGCAAGGAGACGACCTATAGAATGGGAGAAAATATTTACATGCTACACATCCAATAAAGGGCTGATAACTAGAATCTGTGTCATTGGTATTTTGACAGAGATTGCATTGAAACTGTAGATTGTCTTGAGTAGTATGGTCATTTTAACGATATTAATTCTTCCAATCCTTGAGCATGAGATGCTTTTCAATTTATATGTATACTCTTCAATTTCTTTCTTCAGCATTTAGTGGTTTTCCTTGTGGAGGTCTTTCACCTCCTTGGTTAAATTTATTCCTACGTGTATTTTTTTTTTTTTTTTGTATCTACTACATCTATTCAAGCTTTTTTTTTTTTTTTTTTTTTTTTTTTTTTTTTTTTTAAGATCAAAAATGAAGATAGACTCAATAGCTTCTTAACTGTTTCTAACTTCCACTTTAGTCTTCTTACAGTATAAATCTCATCTATCATTTTCCTCTTTACTCTGACTTGCCACCTTACTTACATTAATATCAATTCTTTACCTGCCCTAGAAGGCACCATGTGACCAGGTTTCTGCCTAATTCTTTTTACCTCTTTCTAAAATTTTCCATACTGTGCTCCCTCTGCTGTAGGTATTCTGGACTTCTTGCCTTTTTCCTCAAATGTGCCAAGTTTATTTGTTCCTCAGTAACTTTTTACTTATTATTTCCTTGCCTGAAAGTCTTCACCATCAAATTATCTAATTGGCCCTTCTCTCCCACTTCTATTGTGTTCCTGTTCCATAAACACAGTTCAGATCTGTTTAAAATCTTTCCGTTGGATGCTCATCACTAATAGGATGAATTGCAAGCTCCTTATCAAATAGCATTGAGCACCTTAGAGGTGATTTACCTGATAACCCTATCTAAATTAACATTTCCCCTCCAGCCTCCCCATCTTTCTGTCCTTCTTGCCATATTTAGTTCATAGCATTTATCACCTCCTGAGACTATTTTCTTTTCCCTCTCTCCTACTAGAATGTGGACTTGATGTAGTTTGGAACTTGGTCAATCTTGTTAATAGCTCTCTTTCAAAGTGCCTAATTAAGTACGTGAGACATAATCATCTTCAATAAATATTTGTCAAATTCACAAATAAATTATTATATATTCTAAAGATTACTATGGGAGAAAACAGAGAGAGCTAGAGGAGGAGCTTATTTAGACTATTTACTGAAAGGAATCTCCTGAACGAAATAATGTTTAATGTGAAGTAGTGATTCCAACAAGTAATAGAGTGACTATTCTCTCAAACAGAGCTAATAGCAAACACAGATCTCCTAAGGTAAGAATGATCTTGAGCTTGAGTGTTTAATGGGTTTATAGCACCAGAGCATAGGAAATGAGGGAGAGTAGAGTGAAGTGAGATTGCAGAGGAAAGTATAATAAAGATCATTCAACTCTTGCAGATAGTTGATTATTATGCTAATTCCTTGAGAAGCTTATTGAAGGTTTGAATGGAAACTAATTAGGAAATTTATTGCTTAGAGATTAAATGTATTGCAAGAATAGTATCTGTAGCTACATTGGTGGCCTTGAACCTCCCTGTATTTCTGCCTCATGACTAACTTATACCTTGAAATTATTAGTGAAGTTTGATACTATATAAGCATGTGAGTCCAATTACTGTTATTATCTGAAAGGCCCATTAAAAGATCACAAAATCTCACATTTAGCAATGAAGTAGAGGAGTTAAAGGTCAGGAGAAAAGTCTGGAAATGAATTTCAGGGAAATGCAAATCAAAATCACAATCAGATATCACCTAACCCCAGTGAGAATGGCTTTTATCAAAAAGTCCCTAAACAATAGATGCTGACATAGATGCAGAGATAAGGGAATATTTTTACGCTGTTGTGAGACTGCAAACTAGTATAACCTCTATGGCAAATAATATGGAGATTACCCAAAAAACTAAAATTAGACCTACCATTTGATCCAGCAATTGCACTACTAGATATTTACCCAAAGGGAAAAAAGTCATTTTATCAAAAAGACACTTACATTAGAATGTTTATAGCAGCACAATACACAATTGCAAAGATGTGGAATCAGCCCAAGTGTCCATCAATACATGAGTAGATTAACAAAATATGGTAAATGTATACCATGGAGTACTACTCAGCCATAAAAAATGAATTAAGACCTTTGGTAACTATCTGGATAGAACTGAGACCATTCTCCTAAGTGAGAATGGAAATTGCAAGAATGGAAAAACAAACACCGCAGGTACTCACTACTAAACTGGAACGAATGTATCAGCACTCATTTGCATAGATGGAAATAAAACTCTATGGAAATCACGCAGATGGAAGGGTAGAGGGGGGTATGGGTGAAATCACACTGAACAGGTAGGTACAATGTACACTATCTGCATGATGGGCACACTTATAACTTTGGCTCAGTCAGTAAAACACAATCCATGTAACCAAAATATTTGCACCCTCATAATATTCTGAAATTAAAAAATAAGAATTAAAAATTAAAAAAAGAAAAGAATCACCAGGTAATCTGTATAAAAATATGAAGTGTCATGGAGCTAAGTAAACAAAGTTCTTGTTTTATTTTTTAAAAAATACAATTTTTATTTTAGATTTTATTTTTTTTTAGATTTGTAGAAAATTTGCTAAGATAGTGTAGGGAATTCCCATATACTCCTTACCCAGGTTCAGTTTCCCTAACTTATCATCTTATAATACCCTGGTACATTTGTCAAGATTAAGAAATCAGTGCTGCTATGAAAAACCCTCCAGACTATATTCAGATTTCACCAATTTTTACACTAATGACCTTTTCCGTTCCAGGATCTGATCTAAGATACCACATTGCAGTTAGTTCTCATGTTTCCCTAATCTTATGTGGTCCTATGACTGTTTCTTGGAATTCTTTTATTTTTCACCATTTTTACAGTTTTGAGTAGTACTTTCAAATACCTCAGGGATATTGTAGAATATCCCTCAGTTTGAGTTTGGTGAAGTTTTAAATTCATGATTAGTCTGGGATTATGAGGTTTTAGAAGGAGTACACAGAGTTCGAAGCACATGAATCTATGTGATTTATCACTGGTGACCTAAATTTTGATCACCGAGTTAAGATGGCATTTGCCATATTTCTCCACTGTAAAATTACCATTTTTTTTTCCTTCCCATATTCTACTTTTTGGAGGCAAGTCACTAAAGTCAGTGCAGAGTCACACAGAAGGGGGCTGAGTTCTACCTCGTTGAAGGGAGAGTATTTATATATATTATTTTGAATTTTTTTAAAAGGAAGATTTGTCCAAGAGAAGAGGGGTTTAAAAATGAAAGCCTGATTACATTCTATTGCACAATTGATGCAGATCAAGAATCAAAAGTTTTGGCCGGGCACAGTGGCTCACGCCTGTAATCCTAGCACTCTGGGAGGCCGAGGCGGGCGGATTGCTCGAGGTCGGGAGTTCGAAACCAGCCTGAGCAAGACCCCGTCTCTACTAAAAATAGAAAGAAATTAATTGACCAACTAAAAGTATATATACAAAAAATTAGCCGGGCATGGTGGTGCATGCCTGTAGTCCCAGCTACTCGGGAGGCTGAGGCAGGAGGATCGCTTGAGCCCAGGAGTTTGAGGTTGCTGTGAGCTAGGCTGACGCCACGGCACTCACTCTAGCCTGGGCAACAAAAGTGAGACTCTGTCTCAAAAAAAAAAAAAAAAAAAAAAGAATCAAAAGTTTTTATTGATTTTGGCAAAATAAAAGTGAGAGTTTCTTTAGGAAGAACAGCTTCAACTTAATCGTGAGGATAGGAGCTAGATCAGTGGGAAGAAGAGTGAGCGCGTATGCAGGAATTAAGACAGCATACGTGAATACTTCTTCGAAAATGTTCAGCTGGGCAGTGAAGCTGGGAAAAATGACTGTCGCCCAGGGTTCATGTGAAAATGATATCATATTCTGTTCTTTTTGTACATCCAGTCCTAGGAACATGGTTCTCACTTGCGATCCAGGGTTTTAGTGGTATTAGTCAAATGAGAATACAACTTTCAGAATCCTCAAGTTAATTAAATTTATTAAATTTAAATCACAAAATTTAAATACAAAACTTCAAAGTTTGTTGCCATAGATTTTATTACTTTTTAATTCTTTGCGTGAAAGAGATTTTTGTAAAATATAAGGCAGATCCAAAAGGAAAAGATTCATTGCTGTTCGGAATCAAATTTGTAGCTAACGTACCTACAATTTCTCTGTTAGTATATGTTAACTCTAAGTAGATGTCAAATCTAAGTAGATGGTGTAGCTAATCTCCACATGGCCCTGTTTACTGTGTATTGAGCATTTAATAAATTTCGTTTACACAATTGCAGGCAGCCTTGCAACTATCCTCGACAAGTTGATGGATACAGCCAAACTTGTTCTTCAACTGTTTACAGTTACTATATTTATCTTCATATTTGCAAACATTGGCTGGAATAAGAACACAGAAATTAGTCATTTCACCATCATTTTCTTCCATAACAGCAGCACTAACAATACATTTAATGTGAATGGGAACTCAGCAAATAAGTTGGCATCATTACACTATGATTACCATTTTTTTTTTTTTTCCGAGACAGAGTGCCATGGCATCAGCCTAGCTCACAGCAACCTCCAACTCCTGAGCTCAAGCAATCCTTCTGCCTCAGCCTCCCAAGTAGCTGGGACTACAGGCATGCACCACCATGCCTGGCTAATTTTTTCTATATGTTTTTAGCTGGCCAATTAATTTCTTTCTATTTTTAGTAAAGACGGGCCTCTCGCTCTTGCTCAGGCTGATCTTGAACTCCTGACCTTAAGCGATCCTCCTGCCTCGGGCCTCCCAGAGTGCTAGGATTACAGGCGTGAGCCACCTGGCCCGGCCCCTATGATTACCATTTTATATCCTGAGGAAATATAAGTTAAACACATCGATGAATTCATTGATTCTTTTTAAATTTGGGCTTTCTGCAATGTTTCTAACATAAACTGACATTTTTTCCTCAAAGACTGAGCAGAATAAAATTAATTTTAATGAAGTTCTCTGGAACAGCACTATCCAAAATGGTAGCCATTAGTCATGTGGCTGTTTAAGCTTAAACTTAAGTAAATTAAAATTAAATAAAATTAAAGTTTTAGGTCCTTCCTTAGCAGCCAATGTGTCTGAGGGCTACTTTATCAAGGCAGGGAAGATATTGAACATTTTCATTGTTGCAGAAAGTTATATTGGGTGCAGTTGCTCTGACTCTAATGCCACCAGCCTTTCTCTCAGGAGTAAGTAATAATTATGGGAAGATGCCAATAGAAAATGTAAAAGGTGGGGAAAATGTCACCATGATTACCGGATACTTCTACTTGAATGTCCTTCAGTGGCCACAAACTTGATGAATCTCAAACTAAATTCATCATTCTATCTACAAGCTTGACATTTCTTTAATATTCTCCCACAGTCTTTCACTCAATTCATCCTGTCTCAGAGAAATGGCACTCCCAGCTACTACTCAATTCCAGCTAGGAGCTACCGGTAAGAATCAACCAGAACTTGTTTCCCTCTACTTTTTATCATCACCCAATAAGAATAGGTAATGAAAACTTACTATTCTATTTTCTTTCTACCTCTCAAACCTATTTCTTTTCATTCATTTTGTCCTAATGCAGTAGATAGCCATTTGGTTTTGAGCTGAGGTTTTTCAACAGTTTTCTAGCTGGCTTTTCTTACTACCAACTGTTTCTTCTTACTACCATCAGGAGCCTTTCATAAAACACAGTTCAGATCTTGTCACTCTTCTGTTTAAAATATTTCAATTGGCTGCTTAATTGTATAAATTCCAAGCTCCTTAGCAAATACCATTCAGTAGAGCTACGAATATTTGGCTTTTTCTTCTTTAGTTGATTTGTAGCTTTATATTATCAATACTCTGAATTATAGCTATATAATTCAGTCAGAAAAAAACACTACAGTTGTCCATGATAATCTTAATAACATATCCCAATTAAAAATATGTCAATTCCTTGTACTTCTATTAATAACAACACTAGAAATTAGGTAGTATATGATATTTATTTTATTTCCTCTCTTTGCTAAAATGCTTTTGAGGCTTCTGGACAGATTTGATTTTGGCTTTTAAAAATATACCTAAGATTACTAGCAAAGAGAAGTATAAGTGATTGTTAAATTAAACTTGATGATTCCCACTATACTATGGCAAAAATGAGGCAATATGATAAACTTATTGGCATATAAGAAATTGCAATATTAGGTGTGCCTCTCTGAACTGAGCCATGTTATATGATCTCATACACTTCGATGTATATTTGTTTTCTTTTAAAAAAAATTCCACCTTCAGTATAATGGCACTAACTTTGATGAAAAGAAACTTTATATTTAATTACAATTAATTATTTCCATGGAAACATTTTCATATATGCCAATATATAACATTCATGGTAGCTAATTCTTCAGGTTACATATGATAACAGGCCAAATTTTACATTGTAAATAATACATAGGTACTGAATAGTGTAAAATTTTTACTTAAAAATACTCTGTTAAGTAATCTTTTTTTTTTTTCTCTTTTGCATGAAGATTGCTTAACTTGGTTACATTCAGAAGATTTTCTAATTCTTCAAAAGAAATGTCAGTTCATTTTATTATACTAGTAAGTTAATCACTTCAAACTTACTGCATAGTCCATCGTCACAGTCGTTAGGGCAGCTGGCACAAGATTTTCCTTGTTGGTAAGGGGCATATATTCTTGAAAAAGAATTTCCACTGAAATTTGAAATACAAAATGTCAGATATTTTTCATTTTTCTGTTTAATGTATACTCCAAGGTAAGCATCAGTCACCAAATATATATGGGTATTTATTAAATCTTTTAAAAGCATGTATTCAGATAACAATGAAAAGAGAATAATTCATACATTCACTCACTTTGTTGACCATAAAATCTCAGAACCTGAGCAACTTAAATAGGATAGCTAACGTGTACAGTTTTTAGAGTGTACGTCAATGTGGCAACACTCTCTTCATCTCCCAACAGACTTGGTCAAATTTCTAAGACAATGCACTACAAGGTGCTGGCTAGGGGTAAAACATATCCCCTAGAGCAGGGGTCCTCAAACTTTTTAAACAGGGGGCCAGTTCACTGTTCCTCAGACCGTTGGAGGGCCGGATTATAGTTTTTAAAAAAAACAAACTATGAACAAATTCCTATGCACACTGCACATATCTTATTTTGAAGTAAAAAAACAAATAGGCAAAAACACCCACATGTGGCCCTTGGGCCATAGTTTGTGGACGCTTGCCTAGAGAGACAGGAAAAGTTCCTGCGACACAGGAGATTGCAATAGGAAAAATAATACTTAATGTTAAATGAAATTTTATTATTAAAATTGGAAAAAATACCATAATTTCTATAATACAAACTAGGGTAAGTAAACCTTCAGCATAATTTTTGCCTTTTAGATGGGATAGTGATTTTCATGTAGTTTTTGGTGTGTGTTTGCAAAAGGAGGTTGTACTTAGGAAAGTTCGGGAATGTCTAAAGGTGATATGTGTGTAATTTTTTTGTTTATCAAAAATGGGACTGTTAAAAAAAAAAAAAAGATTTCATTTATACCAATCTCCAGGGTGTGCTTATCTTAACAGCGACTATTCTGTACCTCGCTGTTGATGATTATCCTATTGGTCATTCTCATTTGAGAATACATGGAGTCAAAGTCTTGATTGCCCCGAGTGACTCCAGCTTCCAAAGCAGTGCAGCTGAATATCAGTCTCCCCACATGGACTATAGCTGTGTGTGTGTGTGAGCACTTGAAGATTGTGAAATAGATATAAATGTGTTCTGGAAGTTCTCTCTCCCCCGCTTTCTCTCACTCTTCATTCCCACTGTCACTTCAGACATTGGCTCCAGATGCCCTTCTCTCATGGCTGGGGATCTGGATGCAGTCTCCTAGGGACTTTCAATTTTCTCTACTAAACACCAATAGGTCCTTGCTGAAAAATGACATTGAAGGTCATACTTCACAAACTGGAATGCTATATCCCCTGGGTTATTTATAGCCTTAGAATAAATCATGTAGGAAGCTTGGTTTGGAAGGAACCCTTCCCCCACTGGTGGTGAATAATTCAAATATTAAAAATAAATTAAAGGCCGGGCATGGTGGCTCCCGCCTGTAAATCTAGCACTCTGGGAGGCTGAGGCAGGAGGATTGTTTGAGCTCAGGAGTTCGAGACCAGCCTGAGCAAGAGCAAGACCCTGTCTCTACTAAAAAAAAAAATAGAAAGAAATTAGCTGGACATCTAAAAATATATAGAAAAAATTAGCTGGGTGTGGTGGTGCATGCCTGTAGTCCCAGCTACTAGGAGAGCTGAAGCAGAAGGATTGCTTGAACCCAGGAGTTTGAGGTTGCTGTGAGCTAGGCTGATGCCACGGCACTGTAGCCCAGGCAACAGAATGAGAATTTATCTCAAATAAATAAATAAATAAAAGCTATCATGTATTTTGTAAATATCTTCAATATATCCACAGGATTTGTTTTTGTTGTTGTTGTTGTTGTTAATAGCTCAAGTATATCTCTTGAGGAAGGGGTGGGTTTCCTGCAGGAAAACCAAGAGCATTAAGAAATCAAGCTCTTAATGGATTGTTCCTTCAAAGTATTTCCTTGGTAAATTCTGAGAAGCAAAGACTTAAGTAAGATATCTCTTCTTGACTATTTGAAATATATTAAAGATCTCTTGAAAAGCCTTTGAAGTCCAAGATTTAATCATTTCTTAATAGTATAATGTGGCATTTTTTGATGAGCAGGAGTAAGAACATTTCAGTAGAAAGGGCTGGAATCACTAAAATATGTCATTTCCTATTATTACCCTGCATTCTCCCCTGACCTCACTGTGCATCTTTCACTTTCTAGTATGTGAACCTAGCAAGAACTGATAATACCAAATCAGGAGAACTAGACACTACACGTACTCGTGAAGTAACCTTTCCCTGAACCTAGGGAAAGGCAATTGGGAGAGATACTAAATTATTTTAGGCATGAGGAAAGAGAGCTTTCTATCCGATAATACTTGGAACTGGAACTGAAAACTTGATTTTTCTGAGAAGTTGGTTGAAGGTGTCTCAACTTTAGAAAACTTTTCTAAAGGTTTTCTCCCTCTGCTTTACTGAAATATGCTTTTCAGTCTGTTTTTATATGATAATTTAAAAATACTAGGTCGCATTTGACATTATTGACAATAAACTCTAAAGTGTATACTTACGCAGGACAATATTGGCACACAAAGAAGAATGATAGACCATTTTGATTGGGACAGTGGGCAAATCCACATCCAACGAGGTGAGAAGAGTACCAAACAACCTACAGTCCCATAAATGAGAAGGTAAGAGTATGTTAGAGAAAAACGAAATATCAAAAAACAAATAGTAGGAAATAAAAAACTGAAACAAATGTTACTGATATGCTTTGTTTTCATAGGCCTTATAGTAATAGATATATTTAGTTAAATTATTGAATCAAATTTAAAAAAATGTGAAATATTACATTTCCATGTACATTCACTACTTTATCTATTTAGACTGTTAGAGAAATAGAGAATATTTTCCTACCAAGATCCTCTAGGATCTTGTGGTCCCCATGCCCCGCAGTGGTGCCCAATCCCCGCTGGCCTGTACTGGTCCTTGTCCTCTGAGGAACTGGGCACACATCACTGCTCAAGCTCCACCTCTCCCCCATTGGTGGAAAAATTATCTTTCATGAAAATTAGGAATGGGGGGGAGCAAACACCAGGAGGTGAGAAGCAGGCAAGCTAGGGAAGCTTTATCTGTATATACAGCCACTCTGCTCCCCATTGCTGGCATCACCACCTGAGCTCTGCCCCCACACTCCTACCCCACCCCCTGTGTGTGGAAAAATTGTCTTCCATGAAACCAGTTCCTGGTGCCAAAAAGGTTGGGAACTGCTGCTCTAGGCTATTGAAAAATGATAGCAGATAGCTGAAATACCCACCAAATACTAGGCTGTTCTATATACACTTGAAGTCTTTCCCCAAATGCATCATTAAAATTGAAACCAGTCAAAATTTGAAGTTTTTTTTTTTAGGGCACTTAGGGCAGATGGTTTTTTGTTTCTTCCCTTTACCTGAGTATGATGGCCAACCACTGCATTGGGAGTCTTTGGCCCTACTTCAAAGATAAAGTCATGTTTCTCATTATCCCAACTTTGGATTGCAGATGACCATGAAGTGATGGCGCTTGACATATAGAGGTTCTCACCACAGCTTGTATCTAAGGAGGAACAGATCACTCATGAGGAAAACAATAAGATATGCAACGGCAAAATGTACACACAAACAGACACAAACACTGTGCTCATAGGGGCTGAATCCTTTAAAGGGGGAAGAAAGAAGCTAAAATTTTAACAGTAGACTGGGATCTTTAAGACTATTTTTTTTCAATCTTCTGCTAAATATAGTCACTTACTTTCATAATTTTATTGTAATTATAGTATCAAAAAATGGCAGCCCTATCTTCCAAACAAGCCAGTTATTTACTACTTTCAAATTGGGTTTGCCTTTATCTATGTTATTTTTGGTAATCCAATAAATATTTTATCTAATAGTTCATCCACATAATATTTTATTTTTATAAAATATTGCTTGCTTAAGGTGGTGATAATGTCTTGTAGTCTAATATAGTATGCATTTTAAACACCCAGAACATATGAAAGTCTTGGCTTACTAGGTATGAAAAATTAAAAAGAAAATAGTAAAAGTAAATGCTAACGTTAAATATTTTTGAGTAAAATTCAGGAACAGTTTGGCAACATTTAACATATTTTATAAATACAACAATAATTATTTTCAAAACACAGAGTGCATAATATCACAGAAAAGGTATTGGTTTAGAAGTTAGAAATTCTAATTTCAAATTTCCTATATATGGCATTAGTTGCCAATCATTTCTCTCCAGACAGTTGGTTTTGTAATCTCTAAACTAGGGGAAGAGATGATCCATAACCTGCTTTACTCATGAGCTGGTTGAAAGATACAAATATGATACTGTGTGAGACAATTTCCGTAAAATATAAAGGATTCAGTAAGCACAAGGAGGTGTTTCCGGGTTATCTCTACTTACAGAGGTATTTCAACTTGCAAAAGGCATCATTAACAGCAGCATTTAAAGTTTTCCTAATGCAACATCATAAAATAGTCCCTTGCTTATTCATTTATTCAACAAATATTTACTAATTTACGTACTGGTTCTTCGAAATTCTGGGGTACTGTGTTGGTACTTGCACTGGTTTGCCCACTTTTGGGCATTTGCTGCAGCCTGACTACTCCATTCCTAAAACAAAGAGAGAAAAAAAGTATACTCACTTAATGACTCAAACCACAAAGAAGCATTAGCTTTATAATCAGGTTGATATGTTGACCTATATCATTATAAAATTTCTGTAGAGGCACCTTTTGATTTTCATAGTAATCAAAGATATATTTTTTTGGTGTGCCTTTCTCTGCTCCACAAAGAAATATAGACAGTAGGCCTACACTAAGTGATTAAAAAATCTAAAATAGTTTATGGTCAGATTATTTATGATAGCACAGCAGAAACACCTAAAAGATGTTTAGTCATGGTCATACTCTAAATATTGATAAACATGTGGAGGTATTGAGGTTATTTTTCCAACAGCAATAAGCTGGCCTATTTCATTTCTGCTTCCTTTATTTTCCCTCACTGAACACATTTGAGATACAAATGTGGCCTTTGGTACTGGACCCAGAAAAGTGGACTGTTATTTACCCTAAATGGCATTGAACATAAAGGGAAAAGGTATTCCTGATTCTAGATTAGGAGAGAGAAGATAGTGAGCAGAAGAACATAATGGCCTTTCCCTGGATGTTCAAAGATCTGATTTTAATTCTGCCTCCGTAACTTAAATAGCCTTATAAACTTGACAACTTATTTCACCATTATAAAGAGAATTTAAGGAATTTTGCCTTGCCTGCCCACAACACAGCTCCAAGGAAATAACAAAATAGAGGCAGAACTTTGTAAACCATGAAGTTCTTAAGAGATGCCAGTGGCCAGCTTCCTGCTCCTTCCAGGACTGGTTCATACCCCTTTCCTTACGTGCTCTGCCTCTTACCATCTTGAGCATGTTGCTGGCAGATGGAGACACTGCTCTCCTCAGTTCATTGTGTTTGTCTACGATCTCCCTTTGTACTTCTTTTCGGGAGGTTAACACAGAAGCAAACTTTGGATCCTAGAGGAAAATAAAAATTAGAATTATATTTTAACAACTTTGAAAATGGCATATTATAATAACAAATAAGTTAGTGCGAGGGAACAGTGATCATTTTTTAAAAAGTGTTAGAGTCAGTATTAGTTGTTAAGCATTGCCAATGAATCTAAGCTGACACTATGACTTTTTCATAGAAAAGTAGTAGATTGAAGCTTTTACGATGGGCATGTAATTCATAGCATGACAAACTGAAAACTCCTCTGAGGCTACAAATGTCAATGTCTGCTTTCAAGAGAGGTCTTAATGTGATTTTTTTTTTTTTTTCTAGATGCAGGAGCAACAACATCTTATAATGACAAAGGTACATGAGAGAAACTATCAAGACATCTACCACAAGGAGTGCTCAGGGTTGGGGCATTTGATTCATGGAAGCTTAAAAGAGAACTTCCACCTGACACACCTGGCATTTAGAGAAGGAATGGTTAGGCCCAGTCCAAATGCACATATAGCATTCAATAGTAAAACAGTTTTATGTACTTTGTAGCAAATTTTATGGGATCACTCAAAAGATAGTTTTTACCACATTAAAAAAGTCTCCTAGGCAATTTAAGGGGAGTGAAGTCATTCCATTAATGAATGGACTATTGCGGACTTTATGTCTTTTTATTAACAGAAGTGTAACTGATAACAGTATTAAATCATGCGCTAATATTTTCAATTTACATTTGTGTGTGCGTAGGTATGAAGAGTGGAGTGGGGTTATGTGAATCACTGGTGCAAGAAATAAGAGCCGTTTGCTTATTTAAATTTACACAAGGATATGATGTATTACTGGTCTGAGCAAGATTTTGAAGTATAAATCTAAAAGGACAGGGCCCTTTATAGATTTTTATCTGCCACATGGGGGTAAGTTGTCCTCCCCTTCTCCCACACTGAGTTCCCGCAAGGCTCTCCAAATACTGCCAGTACAGGTTGGACCACATTTTACTGTCACTATCTACTATATTCTATTTCCCCCTCCTGCTTTTATGTTCTAAAGGACAAGGAGCATTAGTGAATGCCATTGTGCCAAATAGATCTGGCATAGCTAAGTGAGTCTTAAGTTAGAAAGCCTGCACATGCTAATTATCAGTAGAGGCTGATCTCTGCAGTACATCAAAGTATAAAATAACATTGCTGGATTATTTCCAATTGACCTTAAAAATCTGTTTAAAGTAGTTTTATTTCAAAAGTCATAAAAATCACGTCCAGATGAAAAGAGAAGTAATTAGATCCTTCTGAACTCACCTTTTTCGATGAAAATTCTACAGAAGGAGAGATGCATTTTTTTTTTTTTGTAAATGAGTATCAATAGAGCTTTTATTAGGTGATGGCAAAGATAAAAAGTATTGCAAATAAACTAGATAAAATATGGTATCTATCTAGCCTTACTTACAGAGTTTATATTAGATAGGTAATATGACATAAATAAATAATTACGCTATCCCATGATAACAAAACTGATAGGAGGGGTCTACAAGATACAGAGGAAGGAGGGATCAATTCTTCTTGATCGAGATCAGAGAAGGTGTCACAAAAGATAATTCTGGATCTCTCTGACATCTCACTTTTTAATCGTTTTATAAAGGAAGATGAAGAAACAAATCAGAGAGGTAGCAGGGGATTGAAAGGGTCACCAAACGTAATTTTTCTGGGAAATAAGTTAGAAAGAAAGCAGACTACTTGAATGAACCCCTAGGTGATGAATGAATTATCTCCACATTGATAATTCGATTAAGGTAACACAATATCTCAGAAAGCCAAATGAGATTGAACCAAGTGTCAAAGTTCCTCAGTCTACAGTTCCATAGTTCCTCAGTCCTCAGTCAGAGTTCCTCAGTTCTCAGAGGAGTTCTAGCTAGTCTAATGTTCCAGGAGTTCAAAAACAGCAAAGACCATAGCTCCTCACATTCGGAGACTTTCTGGCTAGGAGAAAAACAGCTTCTATGAGCACTACGCACTCCATCATTGAAGAGAATGATTAACCCTATTTCCGGAATTATTAAAACAAAGTAGCATCTTAGAAATATTCAGAGCATTTGGCCCCTTCACATACTTATTATAAGAGTAGGAAAAAAACATTAATATCTTTAGTAAATTTTCTTTTTTAAAATTTAAAACAGGCCTAGTTATTCTCACAGAGCAATTATGAAAATTAAATGTGTCCATGTATGTCAAGAAGTCATACTACTTAGAATTATATAAAAATATTGTTTTCTGTGAGAATCACACTGAAATGGGTTAAAGAAGAGAAAATCAGAAAAGGTCTCGGGGAAGGAGGAGTTTCATTAGCTTTTAAACCCATAGACCCGTGTTGTCCAATACAAATATAATTCAAGCGTCATAAACAATTAAAAAATTTTGGTGACCACTTTAAAAAAGAAAAGAATAGACAGGTAAAATTATGATTAATAATATATTTTATTTAACTAATATATCCAAAATATTATACCTTCATGTGATCAATATTAAATGCATTATGAAACATTTTACTTCCCATTTTTGCACTCAGTCTTTGAAGTGTGCTGTATATTTTAAATTTATGGCCATCTCAGTTAAGACAGACCATATTTCTAGTGTTCAATATCCTCATGTGGTTAGAGGCTCCTATATTGGTCACCACAGTTTTAAAGATAATTACGTTAACTGCTCTGAGCTACCGTTGAGTACTTTGTGATGTATCAGACACTCTTAGCTCTTCTCATTTTTGAAAATCGGTCTAGTAGCTTGCTACCTCTCATGGTTGCCTGAATTTTTCTCAAAAGATTTTCAACCTTAACCATACCTCAGATCCATCTGCAGGAAAGCATGGAAGCAGCCCAGCAGCCAGGAATAGCAATACCAGGAATAATGCCATTGCTGGAACAACAAAACAAACGGAACAAAGACCTGAATTAGAATGTTTAGTGCATGGACCTCTGAGTGACATGGAGCAGAGGTGGAGGGTGAGGAGAGTAATGGTCTCTATTATCCCAAATTCATTAGTAATGTCACAAGGGAAGAATTGTCACAAGGTGCCAGCAGAATGATAGTGGATTCAGCTCCAGAAGCATGCCCCCAATGGGGAAAATAAAGAACAAACTGAAGAACTGAATGTTTGTGTCCCCTCACCCCCACCTAAACCTCAAGGCCAAGTTCATATATTGATACCCTAACTCCTAGTGTGGTGATATTTGGAGATGGGGCCTCTAAGGAAGTGATTAAGGCTCAATGAATTTATAAGGGTGGAGCCCTGATCCAATAGGATTAGTGTTCTTATAACCTTTTAGGGAGAGACAAGCACAGTGCATTCTTTCTGCTTCTCCCCACCCTCAAAAAAGAGGTCATGTGAGGACACAGTGAGATGATAACCCTCTGCAAGCCAGAAAGACAGCCCTCACTAGAAACCAACCCTGCTGGCATCTTGCTTTCAGAATTCTGGCTCCCAGAACTGAGAGAAAATAAATTTTTGTTGTTTAAGCCACCCAGTCTGTGTTGTTTTGTTGTATAGCACACCCAAACGGATGCACATTCTCATATTCAGTATCTGAGGGTTAGGTTATTTCTTAGTGTGTTCTAAGGTGTATAACACATAGAAATTTGGAATCTTCTGGAGCCCCAGATCTGCATGCTGGCAGTAGGTTCAAGCAAGTCACCAAGACAGTGAGTGACTACTGACTGTTATCCACCATCCTATTTCAAGGCAGCTTTGTTTTTCTCATTGATGTGTGGCAGCAACTCTGTGAGATAGGTATTTGGGCCCAATTTTAAGATAAGTGACAGAGGACGTTTTATCACACAGTGGCACTGATGACTTCCGAGGTGGGGAGATCTGGGAACGCGTGTATCGTAAATCTCCTGAAGGACAGTCACAGAAACAGAACCCCATCCTCTCCTCCTACAAAACTTATGATCAGACAGAAAGCCACACAAAGAACAAAAGAAACTAAACAGAAATACCAAAGAGTGAGTTTATTTTCACATGGTAAGATATTTTCGCTCCTGCAATTTCTATAATGAGTCCACATTCCTGTAATTATAGTAATTCACCGAGGCAGGGACTTTTATTAAAAAGAGATTATTAACTCTTGGTAAAGTGCTTCTAACTTTGCTACACTTAGGATTTCAGTTACATTTTTTGCAACTCATTGAATCTCATAGTTTAGGCTTTATGATGTCAATGTAAGAGAAGGAATAGACGCACAGAGGCATTAAATGACCTCCTGATGGTTTCATTGATAGTGTGTAGCTGGAACAGAACCCAGGTTTTCTTTTAATGTCAATAATAATTTCCCATTAACTGTATTGTACTTTTTGGGGGGCATGGTATTCCAGGTAATAATGAAACCATTTAATGGATTTTTCATCTTGACAGTAACAGTCATACCTTACTATTAGTCTTTGGCTCGATGGCAAACAGCTGGTAGATTATTGAACATATATTGGGGAAAATGAGAAAAAAATAGATACAATATTAACAATTAAGTACATCTTTTCTGTTGGCCTTCAAATATAAAATCAGACTTCTAAGACTTGGAAAGCTCAGATAATATTTTCTTAGTATATCTAGTGTAAGTTAAAAATATATTCCATTATGAGGAAGTTTACTATGCAACTTTTTTGAAATAATGAGAAACTTTGTTGGCTAGAGGACATTTTGATGAAGTATTATTGTCTATTCAGTAACTAGAATGAGAAGGGAGGAAATTGGAAGGAGTAACACAAAATTTGTGGACTGTTCCTGTAACGGATAAAAATTATACAGACGCTTCTACAATGTTTTAGAAATTTGAGGTCTTTAATACGTTAAAATTTAACTCATAGCAATATGAAACTTTTGACTTTGTTTATACTGTAGTTTTTTTTGTTTTTGTTTTTGAGACAGAGTCTTGCTTTGTTGCCCAGGCATAGAATGCCGTGGCATCAGGCCTAGCTCACAGCAGCTAAACTCCTGGGCTCAAGTGATCCTCCTGCCTGCAGCTGCCTGAGTAGCTGGACTACAGGCATGTGCAGCCATGCCTGGCTAATTTTTTCTATATAGCTATTCGTTGGTCAATTATTCTTTCTATTAGTTACGTAAGACAGGTCTCAGCTCTTGCTCAGGCTGGTTTCGAACTCCTGAACTTGAGCAGTCGCCCGCCTCAGGAGCCTCCAGAGTGCTAGGATTACCAGGCGTGGGCCACCGCGCCGTCCTAGTCTCGTAGTTTTTAGGTGGCAACAAGGAAGAGGTAGAATAGGAAAGAACACAATAGAGCACTGAATAAGATTGATTGAGGTTCGGTTTTTTTTTTTTATGGCTGTTAATGTATGAAAGTTTATCCATTCGACAAATTCCAATACAATCTGATTGGTCCTTTGTACCTAAGGTACCTTTTTAAAATGAAAGGTTTAATTAATTTAAAGCAACTATTGGATATCTATCCATAAGTTTTACTAGATGCGACTTCAAATCTTTGTTTACAAAAATTGTGATATTATTGTAGGAACAGAAAAATGGGCCAATGGAGGTGAATAGAAAATTTAAGAGACAAGACCAAATAAAGTACCATTAAAAAGCAGTGGGCCGGGCACAGTGGCTCATGCCTACAATCCTTGCACTCTGGGAGGCCGAGACGGGAGGATCACTTGACCTCATGAGTTGGAGACCGGCCTGAACAAGAGCAAGACCCGTCTCTATTAAAAATGGAAAAATTAGCCAGGCATGTGGCATGCACCTTTAGTCCCAGCTAGTAGGCAGGTTGAGGCAGATGGATTCCTTGAGCCGAGGAATTTGAGGTTGCAGTGAGCTAGGATGACGCCACTGCACTCTACCCAGGACCACAGAGTAAGACTCTTGTCTCTCCAAAGAAAAGGGAAACTGAAACTGAAAAGGCATTGGAGGAAGAACACATTTTCCAGCCTATGGTGTTGGGAAAACTGGCCAGTATGTGGAGAAAAACAAAACCAGGCTGGGCGAGGTGGCTCACGCCTGTAATCCTAGCACTCTGGGAGGCCGAGGCGGGTGATTGTCGAGCTCAGGAGTTCGAATACCAGCCTGGCAAGAGTAAGACCCGTCTCTACTATAAGATAGAAAGGAAATTAATTGGCCAACTAATACATATAGAAGAAAATTAGCCCGGGCATGGTGGCATGCCTGTAGTCTCAGCTACGTCGGAGGCTGAGGCAGGCGATTTGCTTGAGCCCAGGAGTATGAGGTCTACGTGAGCTAGGCTGATGCGACGGCACGACTGCAGCTCCAGCCTGGGAACAAACGCGAGACTCTGTCTCAAAAAAAATAAAATAAATAAATAAAAAGAAAAACAAAACCAGATCTTCTTAAAGCATCACCTGTAAATGTAGGTGGAATTAAATTCATAAATAGACAAAATAATTCACATGCAACTTTTCAGGGCCAGACCCCTGTGCCTTATTAAATGAGCCAAGCATAGTGATGCCCTGGGTATAGTGATCATGTGTTTTGTGTCGGGCACTGTGACACTCTTTACAGTGCTCATTTAAAACTCATAAAAACTTAGGTAGTGGATGATGTTACTCAATGCCCCAGTTTACAGATAGACAGTCCTAGGATCAGAGATTTCATAATGCCCTAAACTTGCAAGTAGTAGGTCTGGGGGATAAGGCCAGACTATTTAGCTTCTAAGTCCTTACTCCTGAAAGAAAGAGAATAGAAATGTTTGCAGCAGCCCCCAACCCTTTTGGCACCAGGTTCTGGTTTCCTGGAAGACAATTTTTCCAAGGGGGAGGTGGCATGCGGGGCTCTGTGGCCGGTTCCTAACAGGCCGAGGATTGGTACTGGTCCATGGCCGGGGTTGGGGACCACAGTTTTAAAAGATTATACAGATCAAAGAACATGTCATTAAAAGCATTAACACCTGTGTGTAATGTGTGCACTATAGGTTATAGGTATAGACACATTTATATGCCATTCACAGTACAGAAAAGCATCTGATGAAATATTTTCTAGTTTTAAAGGTAATATTTAAACATCATTTTGATTGCTTTATCCTTTATTCCTTTATCTCACCATGTACCTGTGAGACAGAAAGCAGCTTATGCTAATAGACAAAGATGATCTGCAAAACTGCTAGACAGGAAATCTGTAAAGATATCTAAATAAAAACATCTGCCTTGCCTTTTCCTGAAAAGCAATGTTTTTTTTTTTCTTTCCGATGATAAGTTCCTTCTCCCTTACTTGAATTTACTTAAAAACATCACTGAAATTCTTAACATATCTAATCTCTTTCTCCCAATGTACTCCTGCCTCTTATAAATCTGAGTTCAATTCAGGAACCCTGATTTACCTCATGACGAATAGGGTAGCTCCCGGGCTTGAAACTTGTTATCAATTTAATTTCTTTTGATCCTCCTTCAGAGGGTTATTCATGCAGGCAAACATCCTAAGTTTTGGTTTTTAACTAACAGAAGAGGCAACATCGGATCGTCTCTGGCAATGGAGTAAGTACTTCCAGAGCTTCCTGGACAGCACTTAGCCGTAAGGAAGACAAGCATTAATAAAATGCTTTTTGAAAGTAAAATCTTCACTCTAGTGGTAAATAACTCCTTTCATGTTGTCATTAGGTACTTGTGTGATCTCCTAATATCTGATTCCGTAGAATCGCTTCTTATTTGCCAAAGCATACAAAATTCTACGTGAAAATTGCTTCCTTAGAAAAATATACACAAACAGACGTATTTAAATTACCTACATAAATATGGCTCCCCGAATAGATTTACTTTTAATTAGAAAACTTCTAAAATGATTTTCTTTTTCTTTTTGATTCAAGTGCATTTCATGGGATAAATTGTATTTTGTGTTGATGACCTTATAAAATATTTTTTATCCCAAAGTAAGTGCTATAATTTTGTGTTGACCAATTTAAAACTATTAATGATTTCCTGTCTTTAATAATGTCTGTATTAACACATAGCCATTTGTGTTAATATTAGTACAAATTACTGATACAGAAGTTTGCACATACATATAACCATAGTTTTTTATTTTTCTATTAAAGGTAGCTCTAGTGTACTTGTTTCTAAATGTCAGAGACATGGGAAGCAATTATATTAATAACTTTAGAATGAAAGGTAAAAAGTTCATTTAAATATCAACAGGATAAAAAGGCCTTAGAAATAATAAAGCTATTTATATGTTAGCTTCTTAGCTCAAAAAAGAATATATTAACTTAATTACTCTTAATAAAATTATCAATAGAGTTTTGAAAATCATAGATAAATTTACTAAATACACCATCTTACTGCTGACAAGATTTAAATGTATTGGCATAATAAAATATTCACCTTAAAATAAAACAGTTATCACTTACCTGTGGTTCTCAGAGCAGGATGGAGTATTTGTTTTATTTGCTGGAAGAAGAATGGTCGAGAGAGAGGTTAGAGCCGTCTGTATATAAGACATCTATTTCCTGTTTTAGCAAACTCTGGTTGTGCAAGTCAATCTAAGTCAACAAGATCTGAAACAGGATTTGTCATGCCAATGGTCTCAAATTTCATTGCTGGTTGTTTAATCACGATTTTGACATTATTGGTTCTTCCTCACGTGGCTTGTAAAAATAAATTGCTCTATAAAATATTGTCAATTATACATTTCTTCTTTAAGGCTCATATATCATTACAGTTTGTCCATATTTTCACCAATTGAGACTTTGAACATTCTTAATCAAATTTTTCTCATCACAACTCATGGGAGTTTTCAGAATTACTTTTGTAGAAGTAAAGCTAAGCTTATAATTTTCATGAACTCTCGAGAACACAGTGTTTTCTTACAGAAACCTAAAACATTTGTTAGTAATCTACTGGACAGTATTGTTCTGGAGAAAAATTTGATCTTTTATCTTTTAAATACAAGGCTAAAGTGCCTTTCAGAACACAAATGGCAAAAGACACCATAATTTGTTGGTATTTCTAGATTCTATGATCTCCTGTAATGACTTTCATTTTCTGGTTGTACAAAATTCAACTTAACATGGATCTACATACTAAATCATTATCATTTGATTTTTTTCATCTATGAAAGGCTTCAATCATTCCAGGTTTATTTCTATATCACAAAAATGAAGTAAGGTAGACTAACAATTTCAAACTCTCCGTGCTTCTAAAATGCAATAATCTTAAATACTGAGTTCTTATAAAGGGGTACTAATTAATAATTCTCAAGTAACACATACATAGCCCTGACAGGCATTTCTTTGTGCTTATTTTAGCATACATATGCATCATGTGGTGCACAATTCAATAATCTGTTTATTTTCATGTTTATCTTTAGTTTTATTATGTGGCAAAAATGTAGGAGAGATCAATGCCTACTCAACATATTGTTTAATTATAGTTAATTATAAGTTCAAGAATTAGATACTACTCTAAATATTCTCTAGAGGAGAGTTTAGATCTCAGAATGGAGTTTATCATTAAAAAATGGTTAACCATTTTGCTTCCATGTCTCTAGTCAACTCCTAAATGTATTTACTTCTTGTACATGGGAAGCGGAAGCTCTCAATAATCCAGGTCAGTTACCTAGATAAGATCACCTTGGAACTGCCTTCCGGGCAACCGACTTTCTGCGGGAGAAGGTGTTTCATGGGCAAAACCTGACCCCAGAAGTACCCAGAGCCCATCCTTCTCTCTGCTTAATAGCGTAGAATATTGTTAAGAGGGCAAGATTTATGATCTGACGGACATGGGTAAATTTCTATACTGGTGCGTATTGGGAAATTATTTGTCTAACTAAATTTTTATAGCTGTAAATGGGAATAATCATTTTTATTGAGTTGTGTTATAATGATATGGTATGTGTAAGTTGCCCGCCATGTAGTAAAAACTTCTAAAGTGTTAGTGCTTTCCTACTCGATGTGCTTCTTTTCCTCTATATCTAGACAAATTGCCCCTAATATTTGTAGACTATGGGATTGAACCTGAATTTTATAAGACATGGGTTGACTAATAAACTATAGGCAGTTGTGTGAGAAATTGCTGTAAGAAGTAGATAGAAAATGGTATATAAAAAGGGAAAAATGTTTTTTGACTCAGTGTTCACACTTGATAGGTTCTATCTAACTTTATTTTTTTCTCACATATTTACTATTTATTTGTAGTGAGAACACATAAGGTCTAGTGTCTTAGCAAATTTTAAACATACAAATCAATATTATTAACTGTAGTCATGATGGTGTACATTAGGTCCCTAAGTTTTATTCATCTTATTACTAAAAGTTTGTACCCTTTGAACAACATCTTCCCATTTTCCCTTCCTCTAGGCCCTGGCAATTGCTATTGTACTCTTTGCTCCTGTGAGTTCCACTTTTTTATATTACCCATATCAGTATGGGTGACACGTCTGGCTTATTTTACTTAGCATAATGTCTACCAGGTCCATCCATGTTGTTGAAATGGCAGGATATTCATCATTTTTTATGGCTGAAAAATATTCTATGGTGTGTGTGTTCGTGCACTTACATTTTTTAATCTATGTTCAACAGGCATTTAGGTTATTTCCATTGTTTTGGCAATTGTGCAAAATGCTGCAGTAAATATGTGGGTAGAGATATTTCTTTGACTTTATTTCCTTTGTTTATATACCCAGAAGCAGGATTGCTAGATTATATGCTAGCTAGGTTTTTCAATTTTTTTAAACAAATCTCCATGATGACAATGCCAGTTTATAATCAATAGCAGTATACAAGGTTTGCTTTTCTCCACACTGTTGTCAATATTCATTCTCTCTTCTTTTTGATATTAGCTGTCCTAATAGGTGTGAGGTGATATCTCATCATGGTTTTGATTTGCATTTGCCTGATGATTGGTGATATTGAGTACCTCTTCATATACCTGTTATCGACTTGTGTGTTTTCTCTGAAAAACATTTCTATTCAGTCTTTTGCATATTTTTCAATTGGATGATGATGATTGTTTTTGCCTTTGAATTGTATGAACTCCTTATATATTTTGGATGTAACCTCTTAACAGATGTATAATTTGCAAATATTTTCTCCTATATTTCCTAAAATATAGGAAAAAATCCTATATTTTCTTATTTTGTTTGTTATTTTTGCTGTGCAGAAGTTTTTTAGTTTGATGCAGTCCAACTTGTTTATATTTGTTATTTATTTATTTCCTTTTATTTCAAAATACTACAAGGGTAAAAATGTTTTTGGTTACACAGGTCGCTTTTATAATGCTTGAGTCAGGGCTATAACTATGTCCATCGGCCGGAGAGCATTCATTGCACCTGTTAGGTAGGTTTCCACCAATTCCCTTCTCCCTCCCACTTGATTTCCACTAAGTTTTACCTCTCTCTGTGCACATGTGTGTTCATCAGTTAGCTCCAATTTATTAGCAAATACATGTGGTATTTGTCTTTCCATTCTTTAGATACTTTACTTAGGATAATGGTCTCCAGGTCCATCCAAATTGTTGTAAAAGACATTAATTCATCCTCTTTGTGGCTGAGTAGTATTCCATCCTATATATGTACCATATTTTGTTATTTGACTCACGAATTTATGGCCACTTGGGTTGATTCCACATCTTTGCAATTGTGAATTGTGCTGCTATAAACATTCCAGTGAAGGTGTCTTTTTGATAAAAACACTTCTTTTCATTTGCGTAATACCCAGTAGTGGGATTGCTGGATCAAATGGTAAGTCTATTTTTAGTTCTTTGAGAAATCTCCCTACCGTTTTTCTTAGAGGATGTACTTTATACTCATAGTTAGGACTAAATCATCATTATGTACACCACAACTTATAAAGTATTTTGCTTACCAAATATTAGCACTTTTATTATAAAGCTAAATAAATATATGTGGTCCCTTTGACATAGAAAATATCATACATGTATTGGATTTACAGATTGACTTTAATCTGACCTTAATCTTCCAAAGTAGCTGTTTCTAGTAAGTGTTGTTCTCTCATCTCCCATTATCAGGTTGTCTTTGCTGCATTTACACATACCGTGGTCATTGTTGGTACTTCATGACTCATGTCTCCCAATTTTAGCAATGAGTGTCTTCCAGCTCCTGTTATTTGGATATCAAAAATCTATGTTAAAAGAGCAAATAGTATTTTCTGTGTATGTATTTTAATAAATTGCAACTATTCTTGTAATGAAACTTATATTTGAGTCTCTTAGTGGCCATTGCTATTAATCATTACATCCTGTTAGGCCGGGCACGGTGGCTCACGCCTGTAATCCAAGCACTCTGGGAGGCTGAGGCGGGCGGATTGCTCAAGGTCAGGAGTTCGAAACCAGCCTGAGCGAGACCCCGTCTCTACTAAAAATAGAAAGAAACTAATTGACCAACTAAAATATATATACACAAAAAATCAGATGGGCATGGTGGCACATGCATGCCTGTAGTCCCAGCTACTTGGGAGGCTGAGGCAGTAGGATCGCTTGAGCCCAGGAGTTTGAGGTTGCTGTGAGCTAGGCTGATGCCATGGCACTCACTGTAGCCTGGGCAACAAAGTGAGACTCTGTCTCAAAAAAAAAAAAAAAATCATTACATCCTGTTTAAGGAATGATCCTTTTCTTACTCCATATAATTATTCTTCTATTCCTGGGGTTTGACCAGTACACTCTAATTAGATGGGCTAGAACATGAATGAATAAAGCACGCCATCCCTCCCAGCCTTTTACTCTTCTTAGAAACAGTAGGATCTGGAGGCTGCCTTTCTGACATTTCTATGCTGACCATCCAAAACTGATTAGTTATTGCAAAGGACTAGGGTCCCTGCTTTACAGCTGAACTCTCACGACCCAGCTTTCCATGACTTTTATTCACAGTTACAAGTCACCTATAACCTACGGATCAAGAGCATAGTCCTTGCAACTGCCAAGTCTTAGAAATCCTCTCTGACCTTCAGTTTTCTCTTCTCCAGGATGTGGATTTTCACAGCATAGGTTGGCTTTGATGACTGAAAGGCATAAAATATGTGTATTGAATACATACTGAACACATAATTAAACTCTTATTATAATGTTTGGAACATGATACTCAATAAATGGAACTATTAACATTTTTATTATTATCCGTTTCAAATCCCAGTATTTCCTGAGTATTTAAAATGTTCCCATAAATGCATTTTATTTGATTGAATTGCTAATTCAGAAGTCTTTATAAGAACGCCTTTCTTCTTTTAGACGTCATAGGAAAGATTCAGTATATATATATATGTTATATATATATATATTTTTTTTTTGAGACAGAGTCTCGCTTTGTTGCCCAGGCTAGAGTGAGTGCCATGGCCTCAGCCTAGCTCACAGCAACCTCAAACTCCTGGCTCAAGCAATCCTTCTGCCTCAGCCTCCCGCTGGGACTACAGGCATGCGCCACCATGCCCGGCTAATTTTTTCTATATATATTAGTTGACAAATTAATTTCTTTCTATTTATAGTAGAGACGGGGTCTCGCTTCTTGCTCAGGCTGGTTTCGAACTCCTGACCTCTAGCAATCCGCCCACCTCGGCTTCCCAGAGTGCTAGGATTACAGGAGTGAGCCACCGCGCCCGGCTTGATTTAGTATATTTTAATCACAAATTTAAGTGTTCCAGTCCCAATAATATTAGAGACCACTACTGTGACTTTTGTAAAATAATTGATCATCTCTTGTTTTTTGTATTTTTGCCAAGAAACTAAAGGTCATAGAACCAGGTGCATTTTGGAATTTACATTAATTTAACAATGTCCTCATTAATGAATATTAGGTTTATGAATAAGTTGTTTTGTTATCATAGTTTAATTTAGTGACATTAATTTTCAAGTAAGAGATAGTGTGTCAGTTTATTTGCATTGTTCTCATTTCCTCAGTCCTTATAGTTATTTCCCTAATTCCTTCTCCTCACTCATATACCTAATTATGTGAACAAAATATCTGAGTTGCAAATTATTTATGTGCTCTATCTTTAGTATATGCTCCATTTACATATGTGTGAATACCCACACATAAACACACGTGTCTTAGGTCAGGTTTCCTAGAAGCAAAGACTGAGACACAGATTAGATTGCCTGTGGCACTGAGGAAGGGCACTCCAGCAAAAAGCTGTAAGGAGGGGAGTGAAGCAGGACAAGGAAGGACAAAGAGCCGAGGAAGAATGTGGTCTCAGCAAAGTGTAGCCGTCCCTGACCAACAGCAACTGTACGCCAGACAGCCTTTTTAACCTATGATCAGTTAGTCATCAGTGGGAAGAAGAGACTTCTCTGGCAAGGTGGCTCCCATCAGCCAAGGGCAGTTCTCTTGAGAAGAGGGGCAGATGTGGTCACTTCCTAACTAACACCCCCAGCAGCTGAGGGACAGAGGCTTTGCCTTTAAGGTGGAATCTCTGTGTGATACCTAAACAGGATCTACCATACTGTGGGATAATATTTGCATTATTATAATAGTGCATATTATAAAGGTGATGTAAAGAATAGGGAAGGCATTTATCTTCTAAAAGGTTCACATATCTCATCTGAAAAATGAAAGGGCAAACCAAACTAACTTAAAAATCTTTAAAATAAGGATAAAAATAATACCTAGTGTTGTGAGGGTCAAATACATTTGATGTATGAAAAACATTTTTAACAGTATCTTGCACCTAGTAAACACCCCATAAAAACTAGTAATTATGAATATATGAAAAGAGGTGATATTTCAGTAAATGGAGTTAAAAACCTATTCAGTGCTAGATTTTTGATTTTGTAAAATTCACTTTCAGTATATTAAAATTGCTATTTATCATTGTAAAATTTATAAAACTAATAAATCACTTGTTGAGGATTACACAGTGTTATACATGTATTTTCTGGTATTTAGCTGAACTGACAGCTCTACAGGAGAAAAATGAGTAAAGGAACCTCCAAAACTGGGGTGAAGAATTGTTATATTTTGGTAAGCAACTTTTATCTCTGATGTTCTCATATTTGGTGTCACCAAATAAAATATACGTAAGGGCCAAAATTATTCACAAAGAGAAAAGAATCATGTATGTCAATTCTTATAATTGTAGGTATATAATAGAAATTTATATATATTTGTTGAAAAATTTCTAAGTAAAAAGTAGAATTAATAGAATAGACACAAAAATTTCCCCTGGGTAAATACTCCTTAAAGTTGCTCAAGTGCTCGGTTATGAAGCCAGAAATTAACTTCATGGTTGTGGTTTCCATAATTATGATCATACAGGCCACGCTATGAAAATGTATTTGAAAAAACATTTTTTAAAATCATCTAAACTCTTTCCATGCAGAGATGAACATAGTAAACATTTGAGAGTAGTTTCTTTGATATATTTGCTTTCTAAATTTTTCATAATAAAGTAGAATTCAGACTTCTTTCTACAAAGTTAACACAGAAACATTACACGACCTATTTAGAAAATAATAAAAGATTGGCATTTTGAAAATCATCTGCCACCTAGTGGTTTTTCAAGTGAATTTTCCTTTTTTCTTTTATTTTTTTAAATTTCTAAGTATTACATGGGTAGAAATGTTTTGTTCACATGGATTGCCTTTGTGCCATTTGAGTCAAAGTTGTAAGTGTATCTGTCACCAAGATAGCATGCATTGTACCTGTTAGATGTGAATTTACCCCTTTCCTCCTCCCTCTCCCACACCTGCTTGGTTTCCCCTGAGTTTTTGCTACCATATGTGCACGTGGGTGTTGAACGATTAATTCCAGTTTAATAGTGAGTACATGTGGTGTTTGTTTTTCCATTCTTGCAATACTTCACTTAGAAGAGGGTTTCTAGTTCCATCCAAGTTGTTACAAAGGATATTAGTTCATCACTTTTTGTGGCTGAGTAATACCCCACAGTATACATATACCATATTTTATTAATCTACTCATGTATTGATGGGCATTTGGGCTGTTTCCACATCTTTGTGACTGTGAATTGTCCTGCTCTAAACACTTGAGTGCAAATGCAAGTTTGTTTGTTTTTTTTTTTAAATGTCTTTTTTTCTTTTGCGTAAATACCCAGTACTGGGATTGCAGGAGCAAATGGTAGTTCTACTTTTAGTTCTTTGCGGTATCTACACACTACTTTCAATAGAGGTTATACTAGTTTTCAGTCCCACCAACAACACATAAGTGTTCCTTTCTCTCTGCATCCATCCCAGCATCTGTTGTTTCCTTTCTGAAAAACGACAGCTATTTAAGTTGTTTAGAATAAATATTAAAGATATGGAAATTCATGTCTCAGATTTATCTAGCAATAATAATGGTCATTATGTGCTCTTTGCAGTTCTCCATTTGAGACTCAGAAGGGGAAAAAAAGAGAAACTTTAGTTAGTAATCTCTCATCAGTGTCCAAAACAGTGCCAAATTAATGTTGGCATTTTTAGAGAGATATAGTGGTAGTTTTCATATGAACACTGGTCCTGAAGAATGTGGTTCAAGAGATACATATCCTGCCAAGAATAAAAGCAAAAGAATAGCTAACGTAAGAATCTGCAAAATCCAAATGTCACAATTGAAATAATATATTTGAGACCCACAGTAAGAAAGAGAACTTCACAAATGAGACTCTATCGTGATTTCTTAATCTTATTTTTATCTTAGATGCCTTGAGTATATTACTAAAGACGTTTGTCAAGAGTGGGAACGAGTGGCATACAAGCTTTTACATACCTCAGGCTCTCTTTCTGTGGCCTCAGAACATTAAAGATAATATAGCTTGAAATAAATTTTTAGGGCATACCACTCTTTCCCTAAAAGCTCTCTAGAATTTTCAGAATTTCTTGTTGTGACTTTTTAAAACAGTGAACCTCAATTTTCAGCTTGAAAAAATACTGATGACTGGGACCCACCCAAAGGGACTGGGATTTAATTGATCTGGTTATGTCCTGGAGATAGTGATTTTTAAAAGCTTCCCAGATTATTATAATTAAAGTCAAGGTTGAGAACCACTGTTCTAAAGAATAAATCACTGGAAAACTAAATCAATTTATGCTCATTTTTTTTTGTCATAGTTGTAAAATCTGAGCACTGAACCGTTGCTGGAAATAATGAGGTCTTGGGCATTAAGGCATTTGAAGGGA